TTTGTGTTGCGGCTTTTGTAATTGTGTTGCAGCATTTGTATTTGTGTTGCGGCTTTTGTAATTGTGTTGCAGCATTTGTATTTGTGTTGCGGCTTTTTTAATTGTGTTGCGGCTTTTGTATTTGTGTTGCGGCTTTTGTAATTGTGTTGCAGCATTTGTATTTGTGTTGCGGCTTTTGTAATTGTGTTGCAGCTTTTGTTTTAGTGTTGACACCTCTGGCCCACAGTGCTCTAGTAATGGGTACATGGAAATTAAACTGAATTGAATTAAATTTTTAATTTAAAAACTTAAACTTTTATCAATCAAAAAGTAATTTTTTGCTTTTTGATTGATAAAAGTAAAGGTTGATAAAAGTAAAGGTTGACCTTTAATGACCTCTAGAAATATTTCTTTATATCTTTAAAACGATAGCGGCACAAACATTTTTGCTGCACAAACCAGCACAAACATAGCACAAACGTTTGACACTAATTTTGTCTGATTTGTAGAAGGTGGGGGGGCCAACTTCATTCAGGTCGCCACCGGGACCTCTCCACCATCGGTAGGAAATGAAGGTGAGGTGCCAACCCTTCGATTTTAGGTCGAAGTTTAAATGTGATTATAAGGGAGTTATTCAGTGGAGCTCCAGTTTTAAAAATACAGGTTTATAATAGGATTTTATTCTGTAGTTCGATTCCTTACTAACTTCCAGGCAAATAATATATTTAAAATACTAGAGCTGAAGGTTTTAATTTGAGTTTTTACTTAAGAAGGCATTTTAATTTCCAACTTACAAAGAATAATTAACCAAATCTTATGGGAGGATACGTTTAGTTTCATACACTATGTGTTGTTGATTATTTATTCTCCAGAAGCACAGTATTTATATTGTAAAAACATTTTATTTTTTAACTCTGTCATTAATTCTGTTCTATACTATTCCATTCTATTAACTGAAAACTGTAGGTTACAGGAATGAAATTCAAACACAGTAAAGTTTACAACAATTGTTTGAGCACTATAGCCCTTTCACATTGTGAATAATAAGTGTTTGTATGTAGACTTAACTAAAGAAAGATGAGTACCAAATTCCACATATATATTGTGTTATTTAATTAATAAAGAAAACCACTAGAGTTTTTACCTCCACTGTGAGAAAGATTTCCTCCAAATGACCGGCAAAGTTCTCCATTTCAGTGACCTTACCCTGCAGCTGATTTCTGATGGAGATGATCTCATCCTAAAAGCAAGTGAAAGTCAGGATTCAATCCTTTCAAAACTACAACGTACTTTATAGAAATGAGAAAATAACAAATAGAGTTGAATCAATGATCAAATAGTTTAATCATTTCTGCATGTCTAATAAAAGTGTATTTTACTGTTACTATCTCTCAAATTTTAACATCTGTTAGAGTTTTTGTCTGTTATCTGCAGAAAAAAAACATTTTAAAGCAGTTTATTGAAAATCATTAAACAGATTTTACTCCTTTAGTGTTAATGCCCCCACCTCATATTCTCCTTTGTCAAACACATCATCATGTCCGTCTTCTGCCCCAGTGGGGGACGGGCAGCTGTCTTCACATGGCTCAAAACGCAACGATTCATTGGTGTTGACTGAGAACCTCTGAAAGGTTCTTTCTCCAGGCTCTGGAACAGCACGGTATGCCTCCATGGTGCTCGATTGTCTGCTGAAGTCCTGCTGCTCGCCTTCTTCAGCAATCACATTCAGTCTGCCCCCAGTCAGGTCCATAAGAACACAGGTCCCAAGTGGATGATGGCAATCTGGAAATGATAGATTATGCATATAAGATTAATTTAGATCATCTTCTAAATAATATTAACATGTAGATCTATAACCAACTTTTAAAAACAGTACAGCATTTTGTAGTTTTTAGTGACTTGCTTGTGTATGAATAAATAAGTTGAATTGGAAAATTATTGAACAATTAACAAAAGAATAACCGGAATGACTCAATACGATAATAACAAATCCTGACCTGTGTTGATGCCTGACAAGCAAACTTTGTGAGAGGTCCAACCCTGAAGCTGTGACTAAAATAGATGGAGCTCACACTGCTCATGTGACACAGCTATTTCAGACATCTACAGGGAATATGTGTTATATGAATATATATTAAAACGAATATAAGACTAACATGGCAGGGAAAGAAACAAAATGTTAACAATGACAATAAAAATCACCAAGACTAATTTTAAAATATTATTTAATATGGAAATCCCCAAACATGTGATTCAAAGGTTAAAGTTGAACTCAAATCAGGATACTGTGGGACGTTCGTGAAACCTCGGGAATTTGCCTTAATATCCCAAAATAAATATTTTATTTGATTTTCATCTAGATATTAAACTGCTTGTTAACTGTGTGTCGAGTTAGCACTATTTCATCTTTAATATTGGTCTTAAATCCGTCCATTTAAGTTTTATTACAGTTTTACCTGTATATGCCCTAGTCTATTTATTACGCCTACTAATTAATGACACATATTTTGTGTATTTTTTTTTCTTCCTTTCATATGTCTCGTACATATTTTAATGACATATGACAGTAATGAGTTTGCTCAAAATAATTTTTCATTGTTTAAGTCCTGATCATATGTGCTTTCATAATTTCCGAGCTTTTATGTGATACGTGAAGCCATCATCCGTCAGACAAATGGCGGACGTTGTAAACAGAGCTAGCAGCGTCACCGGGGCCATAGCGAAAGTCCTGTTTTTAACATGGACAGCGTAGAGTTTGAGCGTCTGGACAGCTTGGAAGGATGGGTGGCCGTTAAAAGTAATATTTTTGAAGAACACGAGCCCTTTAAGTTGGGTTTCATCGTTCAGTGGAACGTTATCGAGTCGAAGTTCGCAGTAACCTGCCACAACCGGACGTTACAGCGACAGAAACGTAAGGCTGAGCTGCCCTCGGCTGGCGAAGACCCCCAGATGAGCTGGGCAGGACTGTTCTCCGTAAACGACCTAAAACACGTCCACCAACAGTTCACATGCGTGGCGGACGTCCTGGGGGGCTGCTTCCCGGATTTGTCCGACTTTGAAGAAAGTAACATTTGGGATTTGCTGCTGTTGAATCGGAAATCCGGTGCAGAGGATGACGAACGCAGAGACTTTGACGCGCCGTGCAGGAAACTGGAGAAATACTTCAGCACAGCCATTGACCTCTGCGGGAGAAAAATCGTCCTGGAAACTTTATTTACCCAGGATGAGCGGGACGTTGATGAGTACTTTGAAAACCTGCAGGAGTTTAAAAAGAAGAGCATGCAGGAGGAGATGTCAAGAGCCAAAACTCACCTGAAGGAGGTGAGGAGGGGGGCTACTGCTGTCATATCTGTGCAGATCAGTCACAGATTATCATTAAATCATCCTTTATTGTCCCACAATTTCCCCATTGTGGGACAATAAAGAGATTTTCTACTTGATTCTACTAGATTTTCTGATCTACCTTTCCATATAGAAGAGAAAAACAGTAGTAACCAATATTTAAGCATCTATTTTCTGAAACAGCTGTTTTCTATCATCAAGACCTGCTTTTCTAATTTTGTTTTTGTTCCTGAATCTCCTATTATTGTTCAGCTTTTAGCAAATAATTCCCTCATCTTTCTGCTTTCCATATGCTAAATGTAGAGCTTTCCTTAACCACTTGAGAAGTTTTTCTTCAGATATTGTTTTGTGAAAATCTTAGCTTTCATAACATAAATATTACACAAGTCTCAATTTCAATAAAAAGAAGAAAATATGATCAACAAATCAAAGAAAACATTAAGAAAGGATGACAAGTGAAAGGAACAGAACTGCAAGTATTAATGGAAGTATTAATCTCATATCCTTAATGGGCAGAAAATGTAAATATCAGCTTAAAATATCAGCTGGCTGATGTATCGGGCTATCTCTTGTTACAATGCAAGTAGTACATGTAAAAAAAAATAAAAAATTCTGAATAGGCATAAAGACCTGAATAAATAGTTTATATTTTTGCTTGTTTCCATCCCCAAACAACATATTTGTTAATCTGTCAAATTATTTCCACACTTTGGCTTTAATACTGTAAAAATGAAATATATGCCTTTACAATGTTTGAGTTGTTTTGCCTTATTAATGGAAAATGTTATTTTAGAATAAGTATTACTTTATACATTTAGTTTACTTTGCTGTGTTTTCTCAGGCAAAACAGTTGCCTGTATAAAGAGCGCCCCACAGTGGCGGTGGAAAGATCTAAGATCAGGATTAGAATGATCTTTCCTGCTTTCAAAGACTGAGTAAAAATGTTAACTAAAAGAAAATGGACACCATAGAGGTTGGTTGTTTAAGCTGATGAATGAGAGGGATCATAAACACGATTGAAACACTAGACTAAATGCAATTTTCTCCACACTAATAGTCTGATATATTATTCTTCGTTAGGTGCTACACTTATTAAAAGCACATGTTTGTGTGTCAGCATGCCTTTTTTTTTTTGCAATCACTATAAAAAGTAATCAGCCTGTTTGGATATTTGATCCTTTAATTGTTTTTGTTCTTGAAATTATGCCTGATATAATTTCAAATTTTGAACCAGAATTTAAAAGAAAGTAGTTCTCAATGTCAAAGTGAAAATTTGGTTTTACAAAACTTAGTAAACTAGTTAGAAATGATAAGAAGAAGTGAATGACTGCCTCTATATTCAGTGAGGTGTGGATTTATTTTCATTAGAGATAAAACAAACATAGTAAAAGATCTACAGTGCTAAATGCTCTAAAGGGAACAAGGTGTAAGTTCTATAATTAGCATTTCAGAGAGCAGATCTCTGTTGAGAGAGATGGACTTGGAAAACAGGCACTCACATCTGATCCTTGAGTGATTTAACATAGACGGCTGTTTAAAGGAGCATGAGGGGGGAAAATGGCTTTCTAGACGGCGACTGTGATTGCAACAACTAAGGGCAGATATATATCTGTTTGTTTACTTTGCCTTTTATCTGTTGTGTAGATATGATTAGTCTTTTGTTTTTGCTTCCATTTTAAAATTCTTGTCCAAAAAACATAACATTAATTCATTTATAAAAGCAAATCAGTAAATGGGCTTTCTGTATTTTATCAATTTTTTATATACAACCAGAATAATTGCGTCCTTTTTACAACAGAATCTTTATCACAGTCCTCTTAAAAAGCTTCAGCAGCATCTCAGTCAGACATTGACAGACTTTTCCATCTGTCTGGATTTATGAAACCTGCGCCTACATAAATATTTGTTCACAGGTTTCACTCAATCAATTGAATTGATTTATTAGCTATATTTAACCACCCTTACATAGCTTTGAAAGGCTATAACTTTAAGCCTCCCGCATCCTGTTTGAAAGGACCTGCACCCACTGTGTGTGTGATATCGATTGAAGCACAACAAACAGCCTCCACCAAAGATTTTCTCTCTGATCTGAGGTATGAGAAGTCATACAGGGTCATTCATAGGCCAGATAGGCTGAGAATCAACCAATGTGAATGTGTCTTTATCTTTGTTTTGTTTGTTTTTTACCAGATGCTGCAGAGTCACAGTTCTACTAATGGGATGGTAGCGCTGCTGAGTATCTATGAGAAGGAAGATGAGGCCTATCAGGATGTGGTGACTGTTGCCACCAGCTTCTTCCAGTACCTGTTGCAGCCTTTCAGAGACATGAGAGAACTAGCCTGCCTTTACAAGATGGAGATTCTGGTAACTGTCTGGTTTTAAGATAGACATGAAGCGAAATCAGTGTAAAGTAGCTAAAAAAATCCATTCTTTAACATCAAATTTCCCTTTATCAGAACTATAAAGTGATGATCTGTGCCTCTGTGTGTCTTTGCAGAAGTCTTTGGAATTTGAGGAATTGGGTCCCAAGAGAATTACTGCACTGGAGAAGGAGGCGGAGGAGTGGAGAATGAAAGCAGAGGATGCAGTTGCCTCCATTCAGAGCATCACTGTCACCTACTTTGCACAGACTTCAAAGGCTCTGGCTGGTACAAGTTTTTGGTTGCATACGTTATTTGTAAGGATCTAGTCATTAGTCTAATTTGGAGGCAGGCTTGGTAATATATTACAACAAGTCCTCCTTTCTTCTAAGAATTTTTTTTGTAATATGAGAGAAGCTTTCATTAAAAGTATATTGGAGGATTTCAGTGAATTTTAGAAAAGACCCGCCCTCTCTTTTTAAAAAATAAAAATGCACATGCACAACCCTATACCCACTCCCGAGAGGGAACGCCTATGAAATGCATGCAAGAGTGTGCACAGGCCCATTTCTCCTCGTTTGCATCTCTCATACAAGCTTACTTTCCAAAAGAAGATTAGAATGTCTTCACAATGTCAGACTCCCCACCAGTAAGTGAGAATGGAGACGAGCACGCAGGATGGCTTTATGTAAACATATCACCAAAATGATTGACAACTAAGAGGACCACTTATTTTAATGATCCACCTGGAAAAAGAACAGCCACCACTATACCTTTAATATAATCAAATAATCTTCCATGCTTAGTCTTTGGTAGAAATCTGAACTTTTTGAAACTGTCCTGCAAAAGGGTTTACACTCAGGTAAGAAACAAACAAACAAAAAAAAGGATATGAGATTTTAGTTTTATAGGTTTGGAGATTCTATTCTAATCGGTTTTTGCTGTTTTGGAAAAGATGACTTCAGAAGCTTTTTTTTTCCAGCTCTCCTACTCTGTGCTGCATACAGATCGGTTTGTGGAACAGTTTGACATTTAGGCTGGAAAAACACCACGTTCTGTTTTCTGTCAGTTCAGTAAAACTCTGGTTTAATGGAATAACATATGAAATAAATAATGTCAGAATTTAATATTCTCTGCCCTCATTGCTGCTAATTTTGGAAGAGTTACAGTATAAGGATACCGGTAGATCTGTTTTCACATTGTGACCTTGAAAACCCCACATATGTTAGCTGAGATTTTGCTATCAGATCTGAGAAAACACACACCTCCAACATAAGTATTTTCGATTTTCTGGGTCAAACTTTATTTATTTTAGTTTTTTTAGTGGTTTGTTTACAAAATTTCTTAATGTTTTTGTGAGATCTAGCCTTTTGACACAGTTCTTGTGTTGATGTCCAGGTATGGTCAAACAGATGGAGGAGGATAAGAAGCGTTTTGGACCTGCTGCCTGGGCGTCTGCAGCTCCCAGACTAGAGAAACTACGTTTCCTTTTAGCTAAAGAGACCTTGCAGCACATGCGAGCAGCAGAGATGTGCCTTAGCCGCAAGAAGGATACCATCAAACAGAGGGTATGTCTTTCAGCAGCTTTCATGGGGCTCCTGTAATCGGTGAAAACATTTCACACTTAATTCTTGGTGCTAGAAATAGATGTGAGCCTTTGGAAATCTGAAGCAATTTAGAGTTTTGTTTTTTTTTGGGGTATTCTACTCTGAATGGATGTGAATCTCTGGCTGCAGAGGTTCTTTGATCTATTTATAAAACCCTCTCTGAAAACTGAAAACCTGCTCGCATGCATGAACAAGTGAGTGTGTCTGTGTGTCTGCATATTAACAATGTGTTGTGTGACTAAATGGTGTGGAACAATTTTCCTGTTAGAATCACTGGATGTAGGGAAAAACTACAGCAGGTTCACTTGTACTTATAACCTATCAAAATGTGCATTAGAGCATTTTTTTTTCCTTTTTTTGGTTGTGAAACAGCATCTTCACCTGAATAATTCATCTGATTAAGCTTGTTAAATAGTCCGGATATTTAATGGATGCAGGAAGTGGCTCAGCATGGTGAAATCAACAGGAGTCTTTCTAATGAGATCAGTGAGCTGCACCTATGCAGGATTTTGTGTTTGTGGCACCATGACTCTGATGAATGCAGCGGTATGCCTGCAAATGTCACACCGTGACACATTTTTACATTTAATGTGTTGTTATGTGTATGTCTGTACTGGATTACCCTATTTGACCAATTGAACCCAGCATGCACATGGGTTTAACCAGGAAGTAATTTATAAAGCCATAAGGGGCAAATCGGTCAGGAAAGGAGCTGGTGGCACTTGATTTCAAAGGTGGGACTAACAGTCAGGGGAAAGGATTAGACCCAATCAGATATCTATGAATGCATGTAAAAAAAACAACAACAACACTTTTCTGAAAGAAGAAAGCTATCACAGCAGCCAGGTGTTGAAATGTTAATGACATTGAGCTCATTTGGGGTATAATATTTTTTTTTTTCTTTTTTCGGCGTTTTTTTGTCATTACACTGTAACAAGTACAGCGCAATGACATGAACACTCCGCATTTAACCTATTCCCTTGCGGATGCAGTGGGCTGCCATTTGCAGCGTCTGGGGGAGCAGTGCGGGGTTAAAGGAATAGATGCGCACTTTCATCTGGCTTGGTCTACCGCAGTTTCCGTAGGCTCGTGAACTCGCAGGCGCGCGCTTTTAGGAAATCCTATACACTACTGTTTATGCTCTAAAAACATTCTAAATGACTTCGTTTCGGGTAAATTCTGGATGCTACCCACTCAGGACACTTGGAATACATTGGACGAGCAGTATGGAGGAATATTGACACGTTTTTTGTGGACTTTTATGGACCTTTCTGTCTCGGTCACCATAGACCTCCATTATTTGAATGTCAGCAGACAGCAAGAAGCCTCCCAGATCTCCAGATGCATTTGAGATATCAAAAAAGTACTCCAGAGTGTTGTTCAGCATGGGGGTGAGTAGAAAATGAAGGCTAATCATGTTTTGGGTGTACTATTCCTTTAAAGGTTTTTGCTCAGAGACCCAGATTCCAAGCTCTATCCTCTAACCACTAGGCTGCTGTTCTGTCAGACCAACATACCTATAGTCAATATGCATGTGTAAGACATCAGATATGCGTTTATCCCTTTAACTTTCTACAAAAAATAAACTTTGAACTACCTCAATGGGCGTATATCCCTTTAGTCATGTCCGGAAAAAACAATTCAACATCAGATCACCATACGCTTCAAAAAATACCAATAAGTAAGTAATTAAATACTTTTTTTGTACATGACTAAAGGAATACACGCCTGTTGAGGTAGTTTAAAGTGTGTTTTTCATACAAAACTAAATGGATAAATGGGTTTTGGCTATGGGTATGCTCATCTGACAGTACACCGCCACTCCCCACTGGCAAGGTAAGATTATTAGTATAGCACAATTCAATGCAAAAACTCTTGAAAGTGCCATACATGAATTAAACACTAAAATAGACGCAAAATAAGAGCAAGTAAAGATAAAAAGTTGATAAAAGCTTCCAATAAAGCAAACAAAACATTTGACTCAACCTCATTTGGGGCATAATACAGGGCATCATAAAACCTCTTTCTGTTTACAGGAAAGTGCTGTTGCATTTTGGGTAATTTTGTTTTAGACCGGGGACCTGGCTAACCAGGCTATAAAACTATAAAGCCAATTGTGACCCAGGTTTTAGAGGTGATTTAACAAGCTTGTCTTGTTTCTTTTTTTTTTTTCTGCAGCTGGAGAATTTATCAGGAAGAGTCCAGAACCAGAGAGCTGACCAGAGATCTGCAGATCTCGAGGACAATCATAAACACGACACCGTGGACCAGCTGGAGCTGCAGTTCTATGAAACCCAACTAGAACTGTATGATGCCAAGTTTGAGATCCTGAAAAATGAGGAGCAGCTGCTAGTGGCTCAGATAGACACTCTGCGTCGGCAGATTAAAGGTATGTAAGATTTTTATAGAATGGACACGCAGCAATCTGAATAAGAGAGAAGTACATTTGCAGAAAAAATCTCTAAGTGAACTAGCGCAGGCTCTAAAAATATTTTCTGGTTTTATGTTTTCCTCTTTTTTTGTATTTTGTTCACACTTACATTTTTTAGATATTTAAAAAAGTGTTTGCTGTCCTCGGTAAGCCATAAGCTGCAATGCACATCCTATTAAGATCTGATGTAAATCTAAGGCATCAGTGGTAGCACGATGGGTTGGGACTTAGTTTGAATTTCAGGAACTGAATGATTCGCTTTAAATACTGAAACCAGGAATTCCCTTTAGTAGATCCTAAAGGGAAATTATTCAGCTACTAATGTATGACTGAAGTCCACTGATTAGGTGCAACAACAATGATCCAAAGTCCACAAGAGATATTAAGATATATAAAGATATTAAGATGCTGTAGCATGACCTTAACCAAACTTCTCACATTGGAAACCCCACTAATGTAGCTAAATGAAACAATTATTCTAAGAACAGTGGTGAAAACATTCCTCTCTCCATGTAAAACACACTTTGCCAGTTTTTGTGAACACTTGATGTCCAGTTAGTTCCACTAGTGGTAGCAAAACCTTTAACTGAGTTCAGGGTAGGATTACTTTCAAGCAGGTCAGGGTCAGGTCACTAGCACTGTGTCCCTTTACCACTTATAACGATATTCCTTTATATTTATACAGCCTTTTAACATTTATAGTAACTGTTTAGTGTGAACCTTGTGAGTTTACAGACTTAATTCCTTGTCATGCTGTTTTAATCCTTAAATACTATGAAAGAACATTTAGAAGTGGTTCAGATTTAAATGGCTAATCTTTGTCTTTGCTGTATCCAAAACTATTTTGGAAACAAAGAAGTAGCTTAAATTGTTCATGTTTTCTAGATCTTAGATTAAAAAAAATTAACTATAAACTAAATTTTGTTTCTTTGCAGAAAAAAAATGCATCACAGATCAAACACTGTAATTTAAAAAAGTGATATTCAATAAATAATCTAGCTTAGACAAGTTAAAATGATTTACATTTGGAAATGAAGTCTAAATTGGTTCCTATAAGAAACCAACTTCTGCATACTTTATTTCCAGTATTTTTTTAACATGCAGATAAGAAAACAGAAGTGCTTATTTTTGCACTAAAATCTCCAGACTTGCATATTAAAGCTGCAGAAAAATCTGGCTACTTTCTTCTTTTTTTTTCTTTTTTTTTTAGAAACCTGAATTTAAATCATGTTATACATATGTAGATTTCACATAAACATTGAAAAGGCTCTTTGATTATGGGGTCACTCTGGGGAATTGGTTGACTATGTTTATATAAATATTGCTCTAATTGCTCCTTTAGGGACATGGGGTTGTTTGCGTCTAAGATGTGTGTGCAGTATTAACACGCTGTGTTTGTCCACCTGTATTTTTACCCTCTCTATGGATTCCAGATTTTCTAAACTGAAACACCTGTGCGACCTTGAACATTCATATGAAAGATGTGTCAGAAAAAAAACGGAATCTTGCTAAATAAATTGTCTGATTTTATGGAGGATTTAATAGAAAGGACTTCCTTACAAGGGACAGAGCGAGAGATATTTTTAATATCATTATAAAGACTGGTCATTCTGTAGCATATAGTGGTGTTGTATGAAGGTGTGTTTGTTTCAGAGCTGAAGGAGGAGGTGGTTTACTACGATGTCTGTGAAGATCCAGAGGAGCTGCATAGCATGGTCCACACAGCATTTCAACAGGCTGAAACTCCACTAATTCGTCAGCTTAGAAGACGCCTGCAGAGCCTGGAGACCAAGAGGGGAAACATCTGTGCTCGGAGGGCTTATCTACGCAACAAAAAGGTGTGGAACTCAGTTTTTTTTTTTTTTTTTTGCTACCTGTGTGTTAATTTAACAGAAAAATAATTTCATTTAGCGTTTCTTAAGAGTAAAAATACAAACCTTTAATCTGGATGATAGAGCAGTTGGTTTGGATTATGGATTTCAGCTTTTAGTCATTATATGCATCATGATTTCTTCAAGTTATTTAAAGTAGAAATTATTTCCATGACAGCTGGTTGCAAACAAAAGCCCTCAAAGTGTACCAAGGTAGACCTTCCCATTGCATGATGGCTGAGCCCCCATGCTTCATAGTGTAGAGTTATGTGACGAACCTTCTGTGGCCTTCATACCCCAAAGCAATATTCATACTGTTAGCAGTTCAGGCTAAGTCTATGTCTATCATGGTTTTTACGCATATTTTCCAGTATTGTGACATTGCAAGGGCATCATACTAATGATTGGCTCCACACGGCTGTCCTCTAATGTTTACAGTGCTTATAGGCCTTTTTCAACCATCTGAGGCTCAGTCTTTTCCACTTCAGCTATGCTTTGATTCATTTAGTTTGCAGTGTAAGTGTTTTTCATTTTTTTTTTTCCTCTTGAAAAGCATTTAAAGTTTTCAGATTTTATCATATGTACTCTTCAATTAAAACAGAAATCTAAAAAAATAAAAATGTAATTGCTTGGTTTTCAAGCGTTTTATTTCATGACGCATCGGAAAAACAAATCCGCAACCCATCTTCAATGCTCTTTCTGAGGTTGTTGGTTAAGGTCTCTCCCCATGTGGCTCCATCCATCCTCATCACAGTGGAATCCTCCTGTTCCTTTGCAGAAAAAACTTCCCCAAAGAATTATTTCTTCCTCCTCCATGCTTCCCCGCTGAAATGTTCTTTTCCCTCTGCTGTTCTTATCTCTAATTGCCTTTTTGATCAAAGTACGCCATTCATGTGAGCAATGTTTGGGACGTCTCTTTTTATTATGCTTACCAGGCAGGAATGCCTAATTCCCAACATTTACAAGAGTTGCTGATTCCATCCCTAAATAATTACAAACTGGTCTTTTCTTACTGCAACAACTGGATAACTGTTATTTAGCGAAATAGTTTCAACCAAATGCTTTTTAATTTTAGGTTGCTATTATTTTGAACATAAAACATAAAGTGGCTTTAGATATCGTGTGTGTGTGTCTTCAGGATCAGTGCATGGAGGCCCAGGAGCAGAAGCAGCTAGCAGCCAAGCAGAGCTCCATCCTTTTCAGCCAGCATCATCAGGTTCACCTGGTATGTCACCACAGCAACCAGACAGCCCACACAAACCCTCAAAACGCCGTCAAGGTAGCGGACTTAGTTTTTTTTACTTCAATAGTTCTCAGTGTCTCCCTCTGTCGTCTGCAGAAACGGGAGAAGAAGAAAGAGGAGGAGCAGAGGAGGAAGCAGTGGGTGGACGAAGAGCGGGAGAAGACCCTGAGCAGATTACGAGCCTTTAGAGAGGTCAGGCTCCGCCTTCTTTCTCCTGGAGATCCTCCTTTATTAAAAAGATAAAAAACTGTATGTAGGTTCCTCATGCCTTCTGTTGAAACCTATTGTAAATCCATATTTACCAAAAAAAAGCATTTATTTTGAATTTGGTCAGTTAGGATAACAGAAATAATTTTCAATAATAATGGAGAACTGTAGAGATTGTTCATTACTTCAGTTTTATTATGTTTTTTAAATGACCACTTTTCCTCTGGATTAATTTAACCCCAGGCAACAGAGAGGCATAGAAAGAGATGATTTGTCATTTGTTTGCAGTGCATTTTCATTATTTTTAACTGTAGTATTGTAATATTCCTTCTAGAAGCGTCAGGGTCAGTACATCCTGAAGACTCCTCAGTCCAGGAGGTCTCCTTCTGAAGTGTCCTGTCCCTCCCAGCCATTGTCTATCATCAGCCTCTCACCTTCTGCCTCTCCTGAAGAACCTTCCTCCATCCGTCCGGCACCAAGGAGCAACAAAACCTCCAAAAAACAGAAGTCTAAAGATATCCCTGTTCAGATATTCTCTACACCACGTCCGCCAACATTAACCTGTCCCACTGCACCTCCTCCTCCACCACCACCTCCACCGCCACCTCTTCCACCACCGCCGCCTCCTCCTGCTATAGCACCTCTTCCTGTCCAAGCTGCACCTTCCCCTAAGGATATGCCGATGGCTCTCAGTGAAAAAGAGGAGCCTCCATTTCCAGCCAAGAACACGCTCAAACAGAATATAGGTGAGACTGAAGCACACCACATAATTCAGACTTTGAAGGGGAGCGTGCATTGAAAATATAAGCACAGAAAGCTTTGAGAAAAAGCCGGTGGGTATGGAGCAGGTGATGTAACATCTCCCCACTGCTGGCACAGTTGTTTGTTTTAAGGAAAGCGTGTGTGTGGTGTGTGTGTTTGCACATTCTGTCCTGCCCTATATTCTCCATGTTTCCCATGAGGAGAGACGAGGCTTCTTACCTCAGTTGCTGTCCTGTTCTTGCACACCTTCAGCTAGTCAAGCACAGATTTCTTATTTTACTTATTTTCTAAAACTATTTGATTCATCAAAGGACTCCATTTGGAAGTCTCACCTTTAAAAATATTTTTAAAATCTCTGTGCCTTTTTTTTTTTTTTATTAACAGCTGAAGAAAATGGTATTCAAAGTTGCCCAAGAATGCATTCCAGTACTAGATTTTACTTTGTTTTTGTATCTTTTATCTATTCATGCATTTCTTTTTTTGCAGGAACTATGGATGAAGTGTTGGCTTCCCTCCAACGCGGGCAGATTAAACTCAGAAAGGTCCCGGATGCCAGGACCAATTCTGGGCAGGACGCGAGGAGCAATCTGTTGTCCGCCATCCGACAGGGAGTCACATTGAAGAAGGTTAGAAACTTCAGTAACTCAATAATTAATCAAAGTCAGTCAAATCTGACAGCGTTAAACATTGCTATACAGCTTAGCTGTTATCTTTCCTAGAAAGCATTGTTGGAATAATCAAAGGGGAAAGCTATGCAGAATGGTGTGTATTTCCTTAAAAACATTTTACACTTCCTTAACACTCAGGTTAGGAACAGCTTTTGGTTTACTCTCAGATCGTTTACCAGATTAAATCTCACAACTGGGACTGTTCTGTTGCAGAACTATATGAAATGACTATTTCAGCTAAATCACTGAACAATTTAGTCGAATCTCGCTTTTACTAACAAGTGTGGTTGATATATGCACTTGAAATCTTATGATAATTGGTGGTATTATTGTGATCAGAGATGACTGCTTTGGTTTATGATCCATGCTTTACTCAAACATGATGGAGCAAAGTGTTTATTTCCAAAAGTTAAAGTGCTTTGCTAAGTGTCTGTAAAACAGATGTGTTTTAAGGAATTGCAACTTGTATTTTAATTATCAGACTAAACCTAAAAGGCATTTCTCGTTTTTGATTGTTCTGCTAAAGATAATCATTTTCATAGTGAAAACTATTACTTGTCACTATGGTGGCTATAGTTCAGTTAAGTTTCAATATCTAATATTAGAGAGGACTAAACCGTAAATTTCTAGTTTATCATAAATATATTCATAGAATAAGTGTCTAGGTTGGCCCTCAATAATAGCAACAGTTGCTACTTTACCCTTCAAAAATAAGAGCAATGCTCTTAATTGTAACATTTGTAGTTAAAACAGTAAGAAATGTAGGTTTTACATCATAGTAATTTTGGCTGCACACTCATCAGGGCAATCAGTCAAAAGCCTTGCTAACGCAAACTATAGGACTCTACAGAAATATTGCTGCTGTAAAACAGCTGATAACCAATATATATGGTTTAAATCATTCTCTATAAGAAGGATTATGAATATTATGAGCCCAACTCAAAAAGTGAAACATTTACTTTAGTTTCCAGTTTTTTATGAACTGAATCAGCATCTTGAACTGTTAAATAGTAGATTTGATTTGCACTGATAATTGTTGTGTAGGATTGGGCCACATTGTCACTGTTTGTGTTGAAGGTGGTCGCCACACGGGAAGAAGTCCAGAGCGGCACAGACAATGACCTGGAGCGCAGCATTAAAGCCGCCATGATGAGGATGAAGAAGGTGGCAGCCGACTCAGACGATGAGGACGAAGGTGACAACGACTCGCAGAACACAGAGTGGGACAGCTGAGACCAGAGCCTGTTGATCCCCCCCCCCGCTCTGTTTCCTTCACAGTTAAAGCTAGAGCTTGAGTTTTCATCCCCCCCCCCCAACCCCTAAAAAATGCTGCTTCTTCTGACGAGGACAGGATTACGCCTTCTTCCGACTTAAACGCTTTAGTTTGTCTGAGCTGTCAAACTCTAATCCCGTCGGTCGTCATAAAGTAGCACTTAAATGTAAGAGATCCAAAACAGCTCTGATCCGACTAAGTAGCAAGTGACAGAATCAGGATTTAATCTCCTCTGAAAACCTTTTCTGTTTTGGAGACGTCTCAAAGTGAAAGGCTAAATGGGACGGTCTGTATTATAAAGCAGAGTCAGAACCAAATCAGTTAATGATTGAATCCTAGCTGCCTGAAGGCCTTCTGTTAGGCTGCTGCTCAATGGGGGAAGCCTGTTCTGCACCAAGAAACTGATTCCTCTCTTATTTCAGAATCTTATCCTATTGAATGTAATAAAGACTTCATTTTCTTAACTTAACCCAGTGGCTGTTTGCTTTGAAAAGCAATGATGTTTACAGTGTATACTGGTAAAGCCTTCAGCGTTGTTTGTACTAGAAGCTCCTGTCTTGTCAGAAATGTAACTGGTTAGAACTTGTCTAGAAATAAATCAATTTCTTTCCTCATGTTGCCAAAAGAAAGGAAGCGATCGACTAAGAGTGCAAGATAACTTTATAATGAATTCTGTTAAATGAAGAAACGTCCTATCCTCTCAGCCTTGGTCTGAATTGATTTCTGGTAAACAGCATTAAAGAGTGCAGCGTGAATAAAAAGCCTGTTAAATGAGCTGGTAATAACTGCACTGAAAAACATATATGCACTACTGTTTTAATAAAAATGTAATGAACATAAATCCTTGCAGATTTAGCTTTAATTCAAAGCTTGCTGGACTGAGGTATCTGCTGTTGTGTTTGCTCCTTGTGACCCCTGATCTGCACAGACTCGCTGTACCTGGATCAACATCCCCTCTGCTTAAACGTGCTCCACAGAGGTGTCAAAGCAAGAGCAGGTAAACCCTGATGACTGCGCTCCAGCAGACTTTTCGCCCACCTTAATGAGTCATAGAGAGCTCTCCATCCAGACAGCTGTGGCTGTTTTCAGCTGTGTAAAAGTCAAAGAACAGCTGTTGGTGGAGATCCTTTCATCCTCTTTAGTCTGGGGTGGGAGGGATCTGTGGGTTTTTTTTCTGTGGGGAACAACCAGGTCACGCATCTCAAGGGACCCAGACAGCAGGTACTGCTGACAAAACCAAGCCAATTGTGCATCAATGTGAAATTCCTCAGCCTGTTACTATGGTAACAGCAAGTCTTGGTTGTAATGGCCCGCAGTGCTAGGTTTTTCTGTCTCTCACACATTTACCGAGCGGCATAGTGTCTTAATGATGTTTCACCGAGTCGCCCACTCACCACCAGTCACACAATGAGCCTCGCAGAGACGAACGGCAGACAAGAGAGAAATGCTGCTTTAACTCTGGACTGGCATTAGGTTTTGGTGTAAAAATGTTTGTTCCAACTTCAATTTAAGTCAGATTTGATGAGCTATCTAAAGAAAAACACCATTCTGAGATTCCAACATCTCATTTTTCAAAAAAGGGAATTGACGTTCAGTCTGCATCAAGGCAAATCATGGAAACGAGCTGTTTCTCATGAGGCCTGGCGTATTGATCCAGTTCATTAGGTTCTGCTGCACTAAATTCACTTTATTTGTGCCACACTTAATATATGCGGTTATAAGAACTTGAGGTGTCAGTTTGAACTATTGTATTTTTAATACTGCAGAATCGTTTAGTTTATATTTGTTGATTAAAATAACTGGATTTATTTTTAAAAATAGGACTAGTTAACAGTTTTGTTGTAAAACAAAAAAAAAAAACCCTGTTTCTTGCATAGGTAAGACTTGACAGAAAATTCATAGTTTATCTGCATATTGATTATTTTTACACTGAGTGCCACTTTTATATACAAAAAAAAAAAGTTGAGTAGGATTGAGTTGCCAAGGCAACACGTCCTCTGATTCACTGCAGCAGTACTGTGATGATGTTTCAGGTGTTTCCCTTCCCCCGTCAGTCCCCAGAATGTGTTTGGTCTCATCTCCACACAGACATGTCAGCTGCTTTGCACATGTAGGTCTCCGTTATGATTAGCACCGTGTTTGGCTCCATGTAAATCAACAGAGGAGGACACAGGCGGTGGTAGAGCCTCGACAGCCCTTTGCTCCGAGTGTTCCTCCTCCTGAGGACTTCTCATCCAGGGAAAAAAAAAAGGACTGTTTTAATTTGAGGAGGATTTAGCCATTTCTTTCACACGTAAACACATTTAAAAGCTCCCATCTCGTCACACCGGAGAGCAGGAGAAAAAGACACTCACTCAGTAGTGTAATTAAACTAGACTTTACCAGTTTCAGTTCTCTAGGTACAATATTGGACAAGAATCACAAAAGTGCACAAGAGGCATTGGTTCAACAGGAAGAATCATAATGATTCAGGTGAGTTACAAACAGGGAAAACACTTTAAAAAAAGTCCCTTTGATAAATATCTCAGAGTTAGGACAAGATCTAAAGAGTCATGAAAAATAGTCCAGTGTAATATTATTACTGGGTAAATATTTTACTTTGATTGCAAACATATGGTCTCAAAATTGACTTCCCAAAAGCAGCTGCAACACAGTCTTATGAAAACCTTTAAATCCTCAGAGTTTGGTATAACTTTTACACATTATCCTACATCTGAACAACAGATCAAGCATTATTAGCCTGGTCTGGAAATACTAGTTGTAGAGAGGCACCAAAAATAAACATACAAGACTAAAAGCAAAGACGTTTTAAGCAGAAACAAAAAAAAAGGCTTGTTCCAACCAAATGTTTTCAGTGAAGTACACTTTCACATTATTCACCTGTCAAGCAGCACCATAAACCTCATTCAGGAAAAATACAAATTAAATAACCACCACCATGAAAAAAAAACCTAACGTCAGGAAGAACTTATCGGACACGTGCAGGTCTGTTCACACTAATGCACACAAACGCTCTTTTAACACTACACCCATGGCGGATAATGGGTTATTGTCAATTTGGAAGGAAAGATCCTGAGTTTTCCTTCTTTATGCAAATATAATATAAAGCATCTCTACAATAAAGATCCTGCTGAAATCTCTTCTAAGGATCATTTCTATACTTTTTCAAGCGAACAACTCAGGACAGGATGATCCATTTGTTTAAATGGGAGAACTTCTTATCTTGATGTTATATAACAGAAATAATCATGTCATTATGGGGGTGGTCACTGGTTGGCCTGTTTTCCTTTCCAGGGAGATTTAAACTTACCTGGAGGCACTTTGTGTCACGGCCATTTATTATGTTTATGTGCATATAATTGAATGTATACAAACTGTCTTCTAACACACCTGAGATACACAAGAGGCAGCAGCAAGGACAGTCTGTAGAGGACTTCAGATCTGAAGGGGAGGGGCACCATTTTTACCACTAATTATTAGTTTAATTCTGCTGTCTTTTTATTTTAGCCCTTCGAAGTCCCACCTTATGCAGCTTATAGAGACATTCTGCAGCCTTTAGAACAGAGAGATGGACAGAATCTAAGAACCCACCACCAGCTTTTTAAAGCCGCTTTACCCCCACTGAAACAGATGAGTAAACTCAGTGTAAGTGAGAGTAGTTTCAAAGCCAGCACCCAAAAAATGTCACCATTTTGTTAGACTTGCTGGCCTTCTTTCTTCTTTTAAAGTCTGCCAAGAACTCAATCCCCCCCCCCCATAAAGTTGTGTTATTAAAAGATGATCAATTCAAAGAGGACATCACTTTGGGGGAGTAGGTGCCGCATAGTTTTTGTCCTCAAGAGACATTTTACTGAATCCTTCATGCCAGACCTCTCGCCCTTTCAGCTCAGCAGCACTTTTCTCAGTTATCGACACCGAGCTTAGAGAGTCCCTGTCTGAACTCGTGCAGCTCATCCAGCTTTCCATCCAGGATATCCATGAACTTCTTCAGCTCGCCCTTCATGTTTCCCTGTTTCTGTCGACTGTCGTTGACGTCCATCTGAAGACCCTCCACCTTCCCTTCCAGCTCCTTGTTCTTTGACTCTGCAGCCTGCAGGGCAGATGTTAATGGGGTTAGATTAGAGAAGGAAAAGTCCAAATGTGACAGAAAGATCCATTGATTAAACCTGCTTGGGGAACATTTCTCTTTGATAATTTAAATCAGTATCAGAAATCTACATACCTCTCTGCAGACAAAAGCTTTTTTATTGTGTGTTTTTTTTTTTCAGATTGCAGAATTTTTGGCATCATAAATGAAAACTTGTTAGATGGTATGATGATGCCTCCACCATGTAAAGCAGAGTGATGTGCAGGGTTGTTTTCCTCCACATTTATTGTTCTGAATTCATTTCAAAGTTGAAATTCCGTCTCATCTGACCAGACGTGAAAAATGTGAAAACTTGTGTCGGTCTGGCTGCTCAAGAGTTTACAGTTGTACCCTGACACAACATGAAAGCTGCCTAAAACCTTTCCAAGACACAGTAGGTATGTACAAAAAAGTGCAGAAGTCCTCAGTGCAATAAATGAATGAAATGCCAATTTTCTTTTATCTGAAAAGTACAGTATCAGGAAGGACTCATGTTTTCTGTGTAAGGATGGTTGTGCAAGTATGTTTCTCTGACTAATGGGCAACACATCAATGCCACAGATACTTTTGAAGGGAGGAGATTAAAATAGAGGGTGCCGAATGGGCCTGACGTCTGCATGACTGCATCCTACAGCTGACTCCTGAAACCTGATCTGCTCATGAGGAGGTCATCTTTAAATAGAGAGGAGCTCCAAACTGCAGCCCAATAGAAAGACACTTTATAATTATAACTTTGATAAGCTCAAGCGATTTCTTTTGTTAATTAAGACTGCCAGAGTTGAGAGACAGATGACATCTGGGAATCCCAAAGTTTATGCATGTTGTCAGGTTAGATGAACAGTTCCAGCCACAATTCTCCATCCAGCGGGCAGAATGAAATCCAACAGTAAAGTTTGTGTGATGTTGGAGCTGCAGGAACTACAGGAATGCCACTGTTGGTTTTACTCTCCTCCACTTTGTGAACGAAAGGCACCGCATTCTTGATTGTTTGGACTGTGGGTCGGCCAGCGCGGGGTGAAATAAGCTCAGCTATCAACAGGCTCATGCCTGCCTTGGCACCAGCAGCCTGTGCTGTCATCAGTGAGCCTGGCTCTTCCAGTTTCACAGAAAGTCTCACTGAAAGTAAAACTCGTTGTTCTCAAGACTTCATGTACCTGCATTGTTTTAGGATTAATATGTTTAAGAGGCACAGCCCATGCAACTCCTGAAGTGTTATAAGAACTAATCATCAAAGCTTTATAAAAACCTCTGGAAGCACTCCAATCATTTTATCTGCTGTTCCACTAGAAAACTAGAGTATCCCGATAATATTGCAGCTCTTTTAAATTAAAAAAATTATTAAAAAAAGCTTTTCAAAAAGCCATAATCCATTCAGTGCTCTGCTGGGTGCAGACCTTCATTAACAAATGAAGTAACGACAATGTGTGCTGGTGAGACATCTGATAGGAATGTAGTGTCACCAGCCCTTGAGGAGAATGATGAATAGAAACTCTTTACCTCTGAAAGGGCTGCATGCAGCCTCACATTCTCATGTGTTCAAGGCCTGCACCGCTCCCCAGGCTCACCTGTTTATTCAGCTTTACCATGAGGCTAAGAAAGGTAACAGGATTGTCACTGTGAGCTTTCAACATACCTTCAGTTTTGCAGTGATGCTCTCACACTCTCCCATCAACTGAGGGATAATCTCTGCCTGCCTCCTTAAATTCTCCAACTCCTGGAGGAAAA